TTATATTGGTTTTAGATGAACAACTTAGCGAACTTTTTTCTAAACTTTTACCATTTCAAAAATGTTATTGAATGGAATCATACGGTATGTAAACTCTTGAAATTGCCTTTTTTCACTCAGTATAATTCTTTGCAGGTTCACCTGAGTTGTGCATTATCAATAGATCTTTCCTTTTTAGTGCTGAGTAGTATCCTATGGTACGTTTATACCACATGTACAGTTTGTATAACCATTCACTTGTTGAATGGCATACAGGCTGATGCAGCTTTTCATAATTATAAATAAAACTGCTGTGAACATTTGTTTCTGATTTGTGTCAACATAAATTTTCATTACTCTGGGATAATTGCCCAAGAGCGTAATTGTTGGTTTGTATGGTAATTAACTGTTTTAATTTTTTTAAGAAACTGCCAAGCTATTTTCCAGAGTGGATGTACCATATTCTATTTCCATTAACAATGTATGAGTGATCCAGTTTCTCCACATCCTCATCAGCATGCTTTTTTAAATTTTCAGGTATTCGATGATTGTGATAGGTGATAAATATCTCACTGTGGTTTTAACTTACATTTCTCTAATGGCTAATGATGTTGAGTATCTTTTCGTGTGCCTATTTGCTGTTTGATGATCCTTTTTGGTGAAATGTCTGTTCATGCCTTTAGGCTCATTTTCCAGTTGGATTATTATTATTTATTGTTGTGGTTTGAAAGTTCTTAATATGTTCTAGATTTACCAGTCCTTTGTCACAAATATGGGTTACATTTATTTCTTCCAGGCTGTAGCTTGCCTTCTCATCCTTTTCCTATGGGCTTTAGCAGAGGAAATGTTTTTAATCTGAATGTAGTCTAATTTATCAATTTTCTAGGATTGTGCTTTTGGTGTCAATTCTGAGAACTTTTTGCATAGCTCTCTCTAGGCGCTGAAGATTTTTCTTTTACTCTTTAAGTTTTATATTTCTACATTTCACATTTTGGTCTATGAACCTCCATTTTGAGGTGCTTTTTATATAAGGTGTAAAACATAAGCCAAATACCCCTGTTGGGTATTTGTATTGCTTTAGCATCCTTTTTTGAAAAGGCCATATTTTCTCCATTAAATTGATTTTGTACCTTGTGAAGAAGCAACTGCTTATATTTGCGTGGGCACATCTCTGGGCTCTCTATTTTGTCCCATTGATTTATACATATGTCCCTCCACCAATACAACACAGTTCTAATTACTTTTGTTATAATTTTTGGAATCAGGTAGACAATTTAAAAGAAATTTTATATGAGAAAAGCTTTTTCTTTGTAAAGGGTCTCAAAATTGTTAGGACCCGAGAACAACTACAGTGATTTTGTGCTCATTATTTTTAAAATACCAGGCTCTTTTGTATCCATTCATTTTATTTAGACACTTAATTTTTGAACTCTAGTGCTATTATTAAATATAAAAATATTTAACACTAATTCTTTAATATAAAATATTCAATCATCGTTTAAAATTCTAGGGCAATTTTTTGACCTATCTTCAGGTCTCAATGGATAGGTTCTTCTTACTTCTGTTTTTCTCCTGTAATTTATTTGAGGCAGTACCTATATTACTTGTCCTGAAGAATTTTCCTGTAGTAGCTTTTGACATGTTCTATTGTTTGTATTTTCTATGAATTGGTAGTTAAATCTTTAGGCTTAATAGATTCAGGTTTTATCTTACATATCTTTGCAAAACTACTTCATGGATGATGGTATGTACTTCCACCAGGAAGCACATAAGTTCTTTCTTTTTTTGAGGAACTGATAATGAATGAATTGATCCATTAGTTCTTGCAAAATGACTTGATCCATTAGGGTTGCAAAATGCTATTTTTTAATGCAATTATTCTTTCCTAACAGATTGTTGGACTACTTTTATAAAGAGGATCTTTCCTTCAGCTACTCAAGGGTTCTTAGAGGAGGGGAACAAATGCTTGAATTGCTTCCTTTATTTAGCAGTTTTCAGAATAATGAGTTTGTTTCCTAGCTTCCTTAATGTCATTATAAACTCATAGACTTAAAATATTTGTTAACCCATTGTAGTTATTATCCTTACTGATGTTCAAATTGTCCCATCTTTGGCTGGTTGTTACCTCATCAAGTGGGTTCTTAGTCCTTTTCGCTAGTCTAGACTTTGCGTTAAACTTCCCTCCTATTTTGTTTGACAAAATGTTCCACATTTATCTTGAGGGTTTCATGCTCTAGTCCTAGAGTCAGACTCATCTAAGGAATCCTGGTTCCTTTTGGTGTGAAATGTGACTTGGAGACCAACCTGGGTACTGGAGGTTGTGTTTTTTTCTCTGAAAGCCCATATATTTTTTTTTTTTACAGTGAGTTCATTTAAAGCAGCTTTGAAAACTGTTCAAAGACCTTATTCTAAACAGGTTAATGTTGAATGATAAGTATGGTTATGACATTTTATCTTACTTTTTTAAGCTTTGAAAAACAAAAAGGGTAACTGAATGTTTTATTTATTATATATCCTCCCAAACTGAATGAAAAAAAGAGTTAAGTACTAAATTGACACCTACAACATTTTTCTTGTATAGGAATATACGGAAGAGATAGAGCGTCTGAAACGAGATCTTGCTGCAGCCCGTGAAAAAAATGGGGTGTACATTTCTGAAGAACATTTTAGGTAAATTGGCTATGGGAATTAATCTCTAAGAATAAGCATTTTCTGATAACGGATTGTATGAAGTAAATTTATAAAAACATGACAGTAAATAAAATCATTGTATCTAGTGTCTCCTATAAATACTTTTTTGTTTTGACATTAACAAGTAATTATCAGTTAAAAAATTTTTTATGTAACTTCATTTTTAAATAATTATACTTCTGCATGAAGTTACTAGAAGAGTACGGAGGTCCCATGTATTTTCACCCAGTTCTCCCCATTGGTTACCTTTTATGTAACTTTAGTACAATATCAAAACTGAGAAATTGATATTGGTACAATGTGTGTGTATAACTCTATGCATTTTAGCACATTTGTAGATTCATGTAGTTCTAGAATTAAGATACAGAATTATCCTATCATTAAAAAGATCTCCCTCTTGCTACCCCTTTATAGTTAATACCCACCCATCTTCCCCAGTGATCCTTAACCCCTGGCAACCACTGATGATTCACTTTTTAAAGCCCTAGAGTAGTTTGTTTGAAGGAAAGCTTCTACTGAAGCTTTATGTAGAAACAACAACAGCCCATTAACAGAAAGCAAGGGATGCTAAGGATTATAATTTGAAAATTCCTGTTTGCATTTAACCTTGAAGATATTAAGGAGTGGTAAAAAAGGTATTTAGAGCTAACTGATAAAAGCATTTAGTATATAATCTCTTACTCAACTTTTTTATAGGTATTAAATGATCATTCTGATAGCACATAAATCATTAATAAGCTGATTTTTTCCATGTTATTTTCAATTGTCGTAGTGTGATCTATCCTCCTGATTAGTTCAAATGCTAACTTTAAAATGCTCAAATTTATATCATATAAATATAGTAGGTTATTAAACAATAATTCTTTTATTCTTTCTGTGTTACTTTAGTTTTATTTGATTCTTCCATAGCCCATAACCAGTTCACAAAGCATTTTATTTTTTGTAAATTTGTACTTAATTCTTAAACTTGGTATTTTTCATTCTTTTTTTCTGTTTCTCTGGTTTTCAGATATATTTCTCCAGCATAGGCAGTATAGTGTTTCATTATATTTTTCAATTCTTCACTTTACAGTTGTCCCTATTTCCACCATTTTAATATTTTTAATACAATGATTCTTATTCAATAGGTACTTTTTATATTTTAAGTTTAGTATCGGAATGCTGTTGGTTGCTAGGAAACCCAATTTCAGCTATCTTAAAACAGCAAGGGATAAAATGATCTTCACAGTTGTTTAATCTAGTAACACAAGGATCCAGTTTCTATCTCTTCCTACCCCTGCCCTGAGTAGTGGCTTTCTCCTAGGGTTAGCTGTTCATCAGGGATGATGGTTAGCAGCAGAGCGGCTACATGTTCTCATTCATGTCCACCATGGATGAGAGACTGCCTGTTCTTTTACCATCAAAACTGTCCCAGGGAACATCACTTACTGATTAGTTTAGGCCTGAGTTGTGTCTGCACATGAATCAATAACTGACAAAGGAGCTGAATTTCCCTGACTGTCTTGAACCAGTCAGGCTTAGTCCCTGGATCTGGGAATGGAGTCAGGCCTCCTACCCCCCCAGACAGCTTGGCTGTTGTGCAGTCAGGGGAGAGCCATCCTCCAAAGAAAATCTGGGTGCTGGAAATGGGTGCGTAGTAGGCAACCAATGAATATCTACAAGTGGTTTTGTCCCTTGATTTGCTAATATTAGTTTCTTCTGCTGTTAATAGTCAAATATTAGACATTGTGGACTGATTGTCTAATTTCCCTGTTTTCTGTTGTCCATTTCTTTGATGTATTTTGGATTAAGAAATAACTTTTTAGATTATCAATCCTATGATTGAAAAGACAATGTTTGCTCTTAATAGACAGGAGGCCTAATCTGAAACAAAGTTCTTTCTGAAAAAGCTCTTGAAATTATTACTCTAAGTCTGAAAGGAATCACAAAAGCTGCAGCCAACATTTAAAACAGGATAATGCTTTATTTATCCCAACAGACCTTTTAAAACTATATTAAAACTCACCCACAAAATAGCCTTGTACAAACAATAGAAAAGCATCTCAAATATTTAAGTCTACATTAAAGATAAAGAACTAATATAGTTAATAAAAAAGCTGTTAGAATTAACTCTCCTCTTACACCTCAGTTCTAGTATTTCCTTTAATCAACAATGTCTCTAGCTAATAACTTGAAATTTGCATTCCACAAAAGAATCTTTGTCATTTAAGCACAGAGTGGAATAGAAAATTGTTGGGAGTTAAGAAGGAATTAGAAGAATAAAAGACAGCTTCTGCAATTTGCTAATGCGTAAGAGACCAAAGAGACCCATTAGAATGGAGAGAATTATCTGGTCCAAAATAGCAGTAGGGCTGAGGTTGAGGAGCTGTGTTCTAGAGAATACTCCTTTTATCTCATGAGGATTTCTGTGCTGGTATGTTGGAGTTTGTCCTGGGGTATGTGTGTAGGGGGCAGCGGGGTAAGTGCTCTGTATACTTACTTTAATTCAGTTTCCCAGTTTTTCTCACCTCTTCTCTGTTGACATATGATGCCTTCAAGTTTTCTGGATTGTTGGCTCCTATTTATACTCCATATTCCTGAGTACAAACTCTTAAGCTGTATTCCCCCACCTCTGTGTGAGTTATAGTCCTTTGTCAGCTTTGTAGCATCTCAAGTTTTATATACACATGGACTTTACCCACTCAGAGGTAGGGATTCTCAGTTTCAAAATGGAGGGCACAAGAAAAACAGTCCATTTGTGAAACAAGGACAAGGAATACATTTGTTTTTACAATTTGTATTTATTGTTGACACTTAGGCATCACTATTATAATAGTGATAAGTGGTAGAGAAATTATGTATAACTGCCACGGTTGTGTTAGAATAAATTTTAGGGGAATTAGGAAAAAATATTAACTGTTAAACTCATGTTAACTTTATTTTAGAGCCATGAATGGAAAACTGACTGTTCAGGAAGAACACATTGTAGAATTGATGGAAAAAATTGGTGCTGTTGAGGAGGAGCTAAGCAGGGTAAGCTTTCAAAACAATATTAAATGTTACCTAAAAAACAAATAATAGAGGAAAATTTCAGAATGTGAGGGACCTGATATTTTTTTTGTAAGGATATTTTTCTTGCTGACTCTGATACTAAAAGTAAGTTGTATCATAATGTTACTGTCATCAATGATAATGAAGAACCTATCTATTTTGACACTTGAATTACTGCAACATTACTAGAAATTAAATTGTGTGATTTTATTGATAAAGCTAAATAGTGAATGCTGAAAAATTTTCATTAATGTGTTTATCAGATAAGGGAAAGCAAATGTTGAGAGATACCAAGTGTTAAATAAGGTGGAAGACCTGACCCTTCTGTGCCACCTTCACATTGGCAGTGTTGGAAGGAGACTGAAGAATTGACGCCACTACACTAGACCTGTTACTTGATCTCACAGTTTTTAATGAATTTACGTTAAGAAACTACATGTCATATTAAATGTGCTAACCTACCTGGTAACTTTTTAATTCTTTAAAAAAATGTTTAATGTGTTATATTTAGGTTACAGAGTTGTTTATGGATAATAAAAATGAACTTGACCAGTGTAAATCTGACCTGCAAAATAAGACACAGGAACTTGAAACCACTCAAAAACATTTACAAGAAACTAGATTACAACTTGTTGAAGAAGAATATATCACCTCAGCTTTGGAAAGCACTGAGGAGAAACTTCATGATGCTGCCAGCAGGGTTTGTTCTTTTCTTGATTTGTACCTCCTTTAAAGAGATTAGAGGACAGGTAGAAGTAGCTTTTCATAGCTTTCTTTACTTTAAGCATTAATTGTGAAAGTTTTTTTTGGTATCATTAATCTACAATTACATGAGGAACATTATGTTTACTAGACTCCCCCCTTCACCAAGTCCCCCCCCACATATCCCATTAGTCACTGTCCATCAGTGTAGTAAGATGCTGTAAAATCACTACTTGTCTTCTCTGTGTTGCACAGCCCTCCCTGTGCCCCACCCACATTATACATGCTAATCGTAAGGCCCCCTCCTCCCCACCTTCTCCCATCCCACCCATCCTCCCCAGTCCCTTTCTCTTTGGTAACTGTTAGTCCTTTCTTGGGTTCTGTGATTNCTTTGTTCTTATACTCCACATATGAGTGAAATCATTTGGTACTTGTCTTTCTCCGCCTGGCTTATTTCACTGAGCATAATACCCTCTAGCTCCATCCATGTTGTTGCAAATGGTAGGATTTGTTTTCTTCTTATGGCTGAATAATATTCCATTGTGTATATGTACCACATCTTCTTTATCCATTCATCTACTGATGGACACTTAGGTTGCTTCCATTTCTTGGCTATTGTAAATAGTGCTGTGATAAACATAGGGGTGCGTCTGTCTTTTTTTCAAATTGGGCTGCTGTATCCTTAGGGTAAATTCCTAGAATTGGTCACATGATATTTTAGTCGATTCAAAAAACATTATTTTACTATTTCAAATGAATTTTCCTCCTTGGAGATGCTGGCTTAAGGAAAAACTATCCCTGAAGTTCTGAAAATAGAAACAAGTTTAATCTACTTAGTGAACATTTAGAATAATGATACAGTGCTTTTTCCCTGTAGTCATGTTTAAAACTAATCAGTCAGAAAGAATTTAGTCTTCTATTAATGCTGGAAGATATTGAATGTATTTAATTTTTTATTAGATGTACTTTTGAAGAAATAGTAACACGTAATAGATGGGCAAACTCAGATTTCCTGCCTGGGTGGTTATGTGAAAGGAATAAACATTCCTGGGGACCTGGATGAATTGGCGTGAGCTTAAAAATTTCTTCTGACACAATGTTTAAGACTTAGTAGTTCTCATCAGCAAAAATCCTTATGTTAGCACAAATATTTTCATTAGACTGCTTGTGTCATATCTATCTTAGTAACCTTTTTTTTTTTAATCTTATAGTTGCTTGGTACAGTTGAAGAAACTACAAAAGATGTATCTGGTCTCCACTCCAAGCTGGATCGTAAGAAGGCAGTTGATCAACACAATGCAGAAGCTCAGGATATTTTTGGCAAAAACCTGAGTAGTCTGTTTAATACTATGGAAGAATTAATTAAGGATGGCAGCTCAAAACAAAAGGCCATGCTAGAAGTTCACAAGACCTTGTTTGGTAAGTTCAAAAATGTCTAATTACTGTAGTCTTTGTGTGTTTTTTGTGTGTGTAGTGTGAGACCAATTTCAAAACTGATAATGTTATTAAAAACTCAGATGACAGTGTAACTGGTTCCCTCCAGAGCACTCACTCTCTGTTCAGACAGGGAGTTAATGCTTTTATGAAACTGCCTTTGAATTAAAACAAATTTTAGTTGGAGTTTTTTTTGGGGGGTATTTCTGTAAAATAAATTATGTTTACTAAACAATAACTAAGTGTATAAACTTTAGAAGTAAAAGTCCCCTTTTTCCCTGACCCTGCCTCATTCTCCATATATTAAATTTCCTGTTTTTTCCTTCTAGAAATTTTCTGTGTACAAACATTCTGTAACTTTTTTTTCTTTGGATAATGTTTGATAATATTCTGAATGTTTTTTTATATTGTCAGAATATATGTGTGTATCATTTTTAACTATCATTGTTATCTTCATTTAGGAAAAACTCTTTCAAGTATTTATTTATCATGAAAGTATTATTATTATCCCCATTATAAAAAATTTGAAAGCAGAAATATAAAAATTTTTTAAATCACCTAAGTCTAGTCACTCTAAGCCAACCACAATAAATTTTGTTTATTGATTTCTAGTTTCTTTTGCTTCTATAACCTCTTTTATCTACTGTTAATACTGTGTATTACTACTTTCAGTTAGAGATTAATTTTAGGATATTCTAATTCTTGGTTTACTGTGAGCTGTAGTTATGGGCCTGAAATACTTATAAATATATGTTAAGTGTTTACAGAATACTGTAGAACATACATGATTTATATTTTAAATATTTCCTTATATACTGAGCCAATTATTTTAAGCTTATTTGTTATTAGAAATTTCCACAAGGCTATAATTTTGCCAACCTCTTTGAAGTGGTTCTAACTGTATTTAAAAATATTTATGACAAAGTTTACATCCTTTTTTTTTTTTTGTATAGGTAACCTGCTGTCTTCCAGTGTCTCTGCATTAGACACCATTACTACAACAGCACTTGGATCTCTCACGTCTGTTCCAGAAAATGTGTCTACACATGTTTCTCAGATTTCTAATATGTTATTAAAAGAACAATCATTAGCAGCAGAAAGTAAAACAGTACTTCAGACAATGATTGTTAGTAATCTCTTAAAGTATTTTGAAGGGTTACATTTGATAAGACTTTAAAAACCAGGTTATCTGCTATTCTTTCATCTTAAGCTTCACTAGACACAGTGATAACATATTGCTTTAAGAGAATAACTTTATATTTTTAAAGGCAAATCTCTCCACTGGCTTTTTCTCCTAGAAAGATTAATTTCCAAATGCATATAACCAACCTTTGAAACTTTTTTCACTTATATTTTAGGGCACTAAGAGTAGGAATTAGTAAGCTTTGATATATGATACTAGAAAGGGTAGGTTTAGCTCCACATGAATTAAGGGGCCCAAGTTTGTTGGCTTAGAAATTGGTAAATCATCCTTTCCTCAAAAGTCCTGGAATGGCCTTGTTGATGTTACACTGACCCAACCAGAAGGGGATATTAGAGGGTTAATTTTAAAACTACAGTAGCACAGAAAAATGTGCAAGGAGAATAATTTATAGAATTCTAGGAATACATGTGACAATTTGTGGGGTCAGATTTGTGTGATGAAGCCCTTCTAGGCTTTATAAGGTTCTTTTTCATAGTTCTACAGAAGTCACTCAACTAATTACACTTAGTATTATGTCTTCTATACCAGATTTGTGCATACTCTTTATTTTGTAATTGTATGAGTTATCTAGGAAGCTCTTGGCCATATCACTTTGCTTCTTTGTGTAGGTCCTCTGCCTCCCTTTTTGAGTTTAACAGTATTTGTTGAATGTTTTTCAAGTGAATACTACAAATGTTAGCTGACACTATGCCTATATTCAGTGCTTGTATGACACTGTGATAGATTTCTTTAACTACCCAAATTTGATAAAGTTAAAAGATGCTGTCAGTACTAACTTAATGGAAATTGATTCATTCACTAAATGGTAGTCTGTACTTATTAATGTCTTCTTATCAAGGTATATACTGAGTTATAAGCATTGCTTGAGTCAGAAGAGATAACTGCTTCTCTAGCAGAATGAATTGAAATTAGTATAATAGCTCTTCTTTCCTGAAGAATACTAGTAGCCTTTTCTTTTAAGTATTTACTAATTATTTCTGTTGTAGTTCCTCACCCCTCCCCTCGTGAAAGAAAACTTAGGTTGGAATTTGTTTTGATTTTCATAAAAATTACCAGTCTATAGTACTTTCTCAGCTCTCCATATGCCTTGAGAAAAATAAGAACCTTGACAAGTTCTTCTGATACAACAGGATCTAAGTTACTAGGTCTTCAAGTTAAGTACCTCCAGCCCAAAGCCTACTTCTGAAGACTATTTGTTTTCAGCCTTTTTGACTAGTAACCTAAACTTGTTTGAAATTTATTATTTTTTTAATGCAGATATAAAAAATTTCCTCTCTTTGCAATGCTGACATCAAATGACTGTCAGTTGCTCGTCTTCTGAATTCTTCTGACTCCTGCATTATTAGACTGCTAAGAATCTCATCTACTAAGCGACCATTTTCTTAGTTGCTGTAGGAAAGATTGTGTGTCTTATGCTGAGTATAAACTCTAGTAAAAAATAGGCTCTGTAGACTATAGAGAATAGAGAATAGAAACTTAGAATTTTAATATGCATGTGTTTAGTTAACAAAGTACTGAAGATATTATTTAATAAGCCCAGTTTATGGAAGTGAAAATATTCTTTCTAAAGATGTGTTTGTTTATTTTTAAAACCAGAATATGCTTAAGACTGATCTTCTAAGTTCACTGGAAACAGTTTTATCCCCTACTGTGGTGTCTATATTGAAAATCAATAGTCAACTGAAGCATATTTTCAAGACTTCATTAGTAGTGGCTAATAAGGTAACAAATGTTATATCCTTAACAGTCACCTTTTTTTTAAGAAAGAAACTCTCTGTGGCCACACTTGGAGATAATGTCTACATGCAAAACCCGTGGGTTGTGACAATGAATCTGGAGGAGGAAGGCGATGTACAATGTTCTCTGCTATTGATGTGGTCAGCAGAATCATGGCTAAGAAAAAAGAATGACCTTCAAGATAAATGTTTAAGTTTATATAGTGGCATATATAGCATGCTATCATATGGTGGGTGAGGAAGATGCACATATAAATGTATACACACATGCATACATACATGTCAAATATGCACAGAAAAGTCTGGAAGTGTTTAAAATGTAGCAATTATCTCGGAGGTGGGAGTAGGACTGGGGTTCTCTGGGCTGGAGAGGGTAAGGGACTTTTCTGCATATTTTCTACCTTTTCTATTTTGTACAAAAAATTTTTCTTAATATTTTTTAATTTAAAAAAAGAAAAATTAATTTTTTTCCTTCAAAGATAGAGGATCAGAAAAAGGAAATGGATTGCTTTCTCAGTATACTGTGTAACAATCTACATGAACTACAAGAAACTACGATTTCTTCCTTTGCTGAATCACAGAAGTTATGTGAAAGCTTAACTGAAGACCTGAAGACAATGAGGAAAATCCATTCACAGGTATCTTATTTAAGTGGTTTGGGGAGTATAAAAAGAAAGTTTTATGATCTTCAACTTGATAATTCCTGTTATACAATCTGAATGCTATATAACTAATTTAGAAACCTAAAAGCATCATAGCCAATTTTGCTTGTAACAGTAATGAATATAAAATAATTGAGAATACATTTGAGTCCCCACCCCCATGCAGGTGCAAATCCACATAACTTTTGACTGCCCCAAAACTTAACTACAAATAGATTGTTGACTGCAAGTCTTACTGATAACATGATCAGTCAGTTAACACATATTTTGTATGTTATATGTACTATATACTATATTCTTACAATAAAGTGACTTAGAGAAAAGAAAATGTTTTTTCAAATTGACACAGATCTCCAAAACATTTTCCAATATATTTATTGAAAAATATGTATAAGAGGACCTATGCGGTTCAAGGGTCAACTGTACTTTCTTGATCAGTTAATATTTGAGTATTTGCTACATCTAGAATCCTATGGTAAAGCACTGTAAGACAAGTAAGACGGACCCTTTCTCACACTAAGTTGAAAGATAAAGCTGGAGAAATAAACTTGGGAGTACAATTAGAAGAAAATGTACCTATATCACCTAAAATGAACATGTATCTATGTTGTAACTTCATAAATTGTTTTTTCCTAAGGTAATATGGATAGTTTCATAAACTATGTCCTTCTTTTTCTTACTATGTTGGTCTCATTGATGTTGGGCATTTAAATTATAGTAAGTTAATACAATTTTTAATTTTTATTGATTGATTATAAATGTAATTCACGGTTTATCTTCCTCCACGTAAACTATTCCTCACTATATACAGCTTTAAACCAAAACGAAATCTCTTAACCAGGGAAGTCATGATCTACAAATACCAGATATAAGGAAAACAACTCCTGGTATACCAAATGCTTTAGTAATGAATGTATAAAGTTTTATTAAATGAGACTGTTACTACAGGACAGAGCTCTTTGGTCAATAAAGCTGTTGACATGATTAGTAAAAGTAAAGGATTCTTTGTCTTTGGAAAATGAAGGAGAGGGAATTCATAATCATGTCACCCAAAATGAGAAGTGAAATATAATAAATTTTTAGTTAAGAATCAAAGGAACTTTAAAATAATATTTGCTTTCCTAATTGATAAGCATGAAACTTTTCAGAGAAAGTATTAATACCAGATATTAGTAAACATATTAGTTAATATTTATTGAGCAACATAGTATGTGTTTCTTCCACCAGTGTAATTACAGGTTCTATTACTAGCCCAGTTTTTTGTTTGTATCATTAATCTAAAACTACATGATGAACATTATGTTTACTAGACTCTCCCCATCACCAAGTTCCCCCCACATAACCCATTGCAGTCACTGTCCATCAGTGTAGTAAGATGCTGTAGGATCACTACTTGTCTTCTCTGTGTTGTACAGCCTTCCCCATACACCCCCGTATTATACATGCTAATCATAATGCCCCCTTTCATCCCCCCTTCCCCCCGCCATCCTTCCCTTCCCACCCATCCTCCCCAGTCCCTTTTCGTTTGCTAACTGTTAGTCCATTCTTGGGTTCTGTGATTCTGCTGCTGTTTTGCTCCTTCAGATTTTTCTTCGTTCTTATACTCCACAGATGAGTGAAATCATTTGCTACTTGTCTTTCTCCGCCTGGCTTATTTCACTGAGCATAATACCCTCTAGCTCCATCCATGTTGTTGCAAATGGTAGAATTTGTTTTCTTATGGCTGAATAATATTCCATTGTGTACATGTACACCACATCTTCTTTAGCCATTCATCTACTGATGGACACTTAGATTGCTTCCATTTCTTGGCAATTGTAAACTGCTGCTATAAACATAGGGGTGCATATGTCTTTTTGAATCTGAGAAGTTGTTTTCTTTGTGTAAATTCCAAGGAGTGGGATTCCTGGGTCAAAAGATACTTCTATTTTGAGCATTTTGAGGAACCTCCATACTGCTTTCCACAATGGTTGAAGTAATTTATTTTCCCACCAGCAGTGTAGGAGGGTTCCCCTTTCTCTACAACCTTGCCAACATTTGTTGTTGTTTGTCTTTTGGATGGCAGCCATCCTTACTGGTGTGAGGTGGTATCTCATTGTAGTTTTAATTTGCATTTCTCTGATAATTAGCGATGTGGAGCATCTTTTCATATGTCTGTTGGCTATCTGTATTTCTTTTTTGGAGAACTGTTCCTCTGCCCATTTTTTAATTGGATTATTTGTTTTTTGTTTGTTGAGGCATGTGAGCTCTTTATATATTTTGGTCGTCAACCCTTTATCGGATCTGTCATTTACAAATATATTCTCCCATA